CTCCCTGGCTTTTGCGTTCTCCCCCCGCGGCAGGTTTCTTCAGCATGAGGATGCGACATCGGCCATGGGTCGCCAGGCATCCCATGGCTCCGCAGGGCCAGCACCAGCATTGACCATGCATGTAGCTGAAATTGTGCGCGGTGTGCATGGTCCCGTGCGGCAGCAACTTGGCATCCTCGCGTTCGTCGGCTTTCTTGGCGTTGCCGTGTATGTTGGCCAAGGTAGGCATGGAGCTGCACGCGTGGTTCTGCATCCGGTCCGTGAGGGATTACTTGCCTGGGCCCTTGCCGCACTGCAAGTACGCCCATTTGGCATCGGCGCGCTTGTGCATGCAGTGCCCTGTGGCCGCCTCTAACTGCTCGCGGTACTGGAACGACTGGCCATGCATCCCTGCGCGCCTGTCTCGCTGGAGCCTGGGGTGGTCGAGCCCCGCGATGTGCGCAATGGCGGCACCGATGTACTGGTGCACCCTGCGTAGCAGTCGGTCCCGTTCGGCGAGCACGGCGGCCTGCGGCGCGATGAGGTTGGCCGCCATGTCTGCACCTTTCTGTGCGCACGCGTCGGCGATCTCGTTGCCTCTGCTGACGTCCATAGGCTGCCTGGTGCGCTGGATGGTGGGGATATTGACGTGCGAGTAACATGTGTGCACATGGACGTCCTGAATGTCGCCGTCCCTGGCCACGATGGCATAGAGGATCCTCCCCCACCATCTTGCGAGGGGCCCTGCGGGCATCATGTAGTTGTAGCTGCGCCATTCATCTGCAACCACATGCGGACCCGTGACGATGGTGAGTGGCCCTCTGGTGAGGCGCAGCGTCCGGTAGATGGCAGCGAGCGCGGTCGCCCCGATGGTCTGCGCCCCATCGAGCGCGCCGAACAACCCAAGGTAGGAGGCGTGCGGCCGTATCCGCTGCGCCCCAAGTGGTAGGTCCAGTGCCACTCCCCATATCGAGCCACGGCCGTCCGCTTATCGGAGTGGGTGGCCGAGCCACCGGTGAACGCCCTGGCGGCCGCGAGCGTGCCGCTTGTCCAGTGGAGGTGCTGGTCTCCGACCGTCCATCTGTCATCGTCGGTCAGACTGCCCCAGATAGGCGGGACCTCCACAGGGCACGTGGGTTTCGGCAGTAGTCCCCGCACCCAGAATGCCATCTCCATAGGGTCGTCTGTCACCGCGGGGGCCCTGGCCCACAAGTCGGCCGTTCGCTCGATCCACGGGTGGTCTATGGCCCGAGTGGCTGGGCACTCGTAGATGATGCGGCGCAGCGGGGTGTCGTCCGCGCCCATTCCGCAGCGTGTGCGCGCAGGTGTCATCTTGTATCCCGCTGCGTGGCACGTCTGGTTGGTCCATATGGCTGAGCACGCTGTACCCTCCAGCGCCCTCGCCTCCTGGTGCCTCTCGAGCTTGCGGAAGTGTCGGGCACTGGCTTGGACTCCCAGAACATCGGCTCCCTCTTGTAGGCCTTGTCCCTCGAGATGTCTGCTCGCCTGCTTCCACAGACAGGCTGCCGCAGGAGGGGGAGGAGGAGGAGGAGGAGGAGGAGGAGGAGGAGGAGGAGGAGGAGGACGAAGAGGAGGAGGAGGGGATGGGGAGACCGAAAGGTGTGCACGGATACCGATACTCCCGGGGTGCGTTCTGAGCAGAACTTCGAGGCGAATCTGGCGGTGGCGACGAGGGCCTCCCAGGAGCCCCAGAGAGGCGAAAACGAGGGAAGGGTAACGGTACGGTGCCTGCAAGGGGATTTTGGGCGAAAAATGAAGAATACTAAAAAAATATCCTCCAAATGCTAAAAGATCGAAAAATCGTCCCCAGACTATTTTTTGACTACTTTTGAGTATTCCCCCTGTAGAGGGACAGGCCAGACTTAACGGTACCTTTCCCTCCACTGAGGGGGTCGAGCGCGAGGATCTCCCGGTGCCCCGGGAGCTGGCCGAAGCCTGCGCGCCGTCTCCGAGACGCCGACCCCCCCCCACACCCGAGGACAGAGTTAAGTCGAGCCTGTCCCTCTATAGGGGGAATATTCAAAAATAGTAGAAAATAGTCTGGGGACTATGTTTTGAATATTTTAGGGCATCTTTTAAGCATTTGTTGGAATATGTTTTATTCTTCGTCCAAAATCACCCAGTAGAGGGACAGGCCCGACATAAGGACAGAGCGGCTCTGCCGCGTGCCGCGCCGGCGACAGCACCTGCTGGACGCTCCGCCTGCGCCTGGCCATCGCTCGGACGTCCATTCCCAGTGTTTTTTTTGGTGTCGTGCGTGGCTTTTTCGCAAAATGATCAAGGATGCTCCTCGATGGTCCTCGCCGACGGAAAAATGCACACGTCCGAGCGATGCCAAGGCGCCTGGCCACCAAGACATGCGACGACGAGACCCCGTCGGCGCGGGGCCCTGGAAGCCCCGGCCCCAGCTCCCTAGATTGCCTATAGCTCGAAGCAGGTACAGAAATCCAACACCGCCTCTCATAAGAAAGGAAAGAGTGCAAATAGTCATTTGGCCGCAACTCTGGGAGCCGACCGATGTCAGGCATCTAGATGCTTGAGACTGGTGCTTCTCAGCATTCCTGGGTGCAGTTCCTCGTCCCTGCTCCGCCTCTGGTGGCCCCCTTGGCCCAGTAAGGGGCCCCGGAGGCCGAAACGCCGAGGAGAGAGCGCCAGGGCAGCGGGGCATTCTCTCCGCGGGTGCCCCGCGCGGAACGCTGACCCGTGCGACCGCGCATCCGCGGGAGCGCGCTCCAGACCGCGAGGGCGCGGATGCGGATCTGCTCGCCGCTCGTGAGCTGGGAGATGTTGGCGGCTCACGCAGAGGGGGCGGGAGGGAGGGGCGGGGCCTCTTGGGAGGAGGCTGCTTCCGAGAGGGCGCCAGCCTTCTGTCTGTTCCATGGATATAAGGCCCACTCCTGGGCCCCGAGATCTCGAGGCACACCTGCGAGGCGAGGGTCTGTCCATGTCCACCGTCTGGAGAAGCCGCGTTCGGGGACCCGCGGGGGCGGAGGGTGAGGACAGCTTTGGGCCCCATAGGGGCCCGAATGTGTGTAGACGTACACATGCGTTCACATCAGCGCCCAGATCCAGATCCATGTCTACATCCACCGTCTGCCGAGGCCCCCCATGATTGATCCCCCAGGCGGCTGACTACCTACCAGACCACCCCAACCCAACCCGAAGACCCGAATTTCGGGTAGGGGGGGGGTATGGGCTCCATGTGTTTTTTCGATGTTCCCCGACCCCCCCCACTAGAAATGGAGGGCAAATTGAGGCCTTCGGTCACGTTGCTCCCATCGTACTTAAGGACCCCATCCCAGAAATCATTTCGAGCACCCAGAAGCGTATCGCGACAATGCCGAGCGAGTATCGCCTCCCAAGGCCCGGCACGAGAACACCCTCCCGTCTCGGTACCTTCTTGGTGCTCGAAATTCTTTCTGGTGAGCAAGGCTAGAAGTAGGTTGGAACATCATAAGCCTTCGGGTTGGGCTGGGGTGGTCTGGCGGGTAGTGAGCGGCGTCGGCGGATCTGTCTCCGCCTCGGAGCAGCGGCTCCCAGGCGGGAGGCCACGCGCTGTCCTCCGCGCACGCAGGCCGCGCCATCGCCGAGCTGGCGCCTGGCACCAGGTCGGGCGTGTCCTCCCACAGGCGGACTTGAGGAACCGTAGAGAAATAAATAGTCAAGCCATGTAAAAGAGGGCTGGGATCGGGATAAATCGCTCCAGAGCGTTCCGGAGCGCTCTCAGAGCGTTCCGGAACGCTCTGGAGCGGCCGCGGCGCCCAATACATCCTCCAAACCCGCCGATTCTCAGAGATTTCGAGTTATCCCGATCCGATTTTGTCCCGATCTTCGGGTCGCTTTAGGAGCATCGACCCCAGAGCATGCGTTGACTGCTCTCGGCATGTTCCTCCCGTGTAGCAGCGCGTGCCCGCCCTGGGGGCAGCATCCCGCAAGCGACGACGCGGGAAGCCCAGCCAGGCTCTGCCGGCCGTGCCTGGGAGGAGGAGGAGGAGGAGGAGGAGGAGGAGGAGGAGGAGGAGGAGGAGGAGGAGGAGAAGGAGGGCTGGAGGAGGAGGAGGAGGCTGGTAGGCTGGGAGGAGGAGGAGGGCTGGAGGAGAGGAGGAGGGCTGGTAGGAGAGGAGGAGGAGGAGGAGGAGGAGGAGGGAGGAGGAGGAGGAGGAGGAGGAGGAGGAGGAGGGGGAGGAGGAGGAGGAGCATGGAGGAGGAGGGCTGGGAGGAGGAGAGGGTGGGAGGAGGAGGACGAGGAGGAGGAGGAGGAGGAGGAGAAGGAGGGCTGGGAGGAGGATGAGGAGGAGGAGGAGGAGGAGGAGGAGGAGGAGGTCTGGCACAGGGCCCCCGGGGGTGGGCCCTGCGTTCGCCCGGCGTGGGCGCCTCCCGCAGGACGGGACGGCTGCCACGATGCAGTCGACCCGCACAGGAAGAGTGGGCAGCCTTCCCAAGGGCACCCTTGCATCCTTGCCTCGAAAGCGCTCCTCCTCCTCCTCCTCCTCTTCCTCCTCCTCCTCGACCGTCCTCGACCCTCCTCGACCCTCCTCGATCCTCCTCGATCCTCCTCGATCCTCCTCCTCCTCCTCCTCCTCCTCCTCCTCCTCCTCCTCCTCCTCTTCCGTCGTTGGCCGCACCCCGCTCGAAAAGCGTCGAAGTGGGCGTCCAAGGCCGGTGCATCCTTACCGCGCATCCTTATGATACGGGCCGACTGTGGGGCTGGCGCTGGAAACATTCCAGGATTTCCGGAGCATCTGGCGGCCACCACTTCTGCAGCCGGTGTGGAACAGCAGGAACCCTGGGAAACCCTGGAAACTTTGGATGAAGGGGCCCTGGGACACACAAATAAATACACACAACTCCGCCGACCCTGTCGGCGTGTGCGAGGGGCTTCCTCGTCCGTTCCTCGCCGCCCCCCCTTCTTCCTTCCCCCTTTTTTCTTTTTGGGCCGTACCCTCCTGCCGTCATGCCGTTGTCGATTCGAAGGGAAGCCCCTTCCCTTTGATCCCTTCCCCAGGAGGGGGGGAGGGGTCCCGGGCGGGGTGGGGGGGGGGGGGGGGGCAGATTCGTTTTTCCTAGGGCGGCCTCGAAACCTCGAAAACACTCCAAATGAGGTCCAAATGCCCAAGATGGCCCCGGCGACGGCCCAAGAGTGCCCCGAGTCGCCCAAAGATCGGCCGAAGACGCCCAAGATAGCCCCAAGACCGTCCAAGAAGCCTCCAAGACGTCCCAGGCCCCCTCCAAGAGCACCCCCAAGAAGGGCCTAAGAGGCCACACTCATGACTTTTCCATCGGGAACTTACATTTCTAGCATATACGACGTTTCGGCCTTCACGGCGTCACAGACAGCTTCGTCTTCAGGGTCGGCGGCACCACCCGTAAGGCCTTCGCAATAAAAGGATTCCCAATATTTTCCCATATTTTCTGGGTTTCTGTCTTTCCCCCCACTGCCCATATTTTCCCATATTTCTGGGGAATCGACGATTAATTGTGTCTGTGTGCTTTTTCTCCTCCTGATTGGAGCGTCTCGTCATCATGGCCTCCTCCTCATCTGGTCTCTCCCCGGCGGCCTCCTCCCCCGGCTCGAAGGTGCCAACGTCCACGCCCACGCCCCACCTGGGCGGCGCCGCGCCAGGGGGGGGGAGGGCCTGGGGCGGGACGGCGGCCCTCGACCGAAGGCAGGGGGGGCGTTTCTCAGAAGACTTTGCGCGACTGTGTCGTCGTCGTTGGTTGTCGTCGTCGTCGTCGTCGTCGTTTTGAGATCAGTATCGTCGTCGCCGTAATCGGTATCGTATATCGTCAACGTCGTCGTCGTTTTAAGATCAATATGTCTTGGGTCATGGGTGGGTGGGACACGTCCAACAGGCTGCGAGTTTGGGCTAGTGGACCCTAAACCCGAAACCCTAAAACCTTCCGAGAAGTCTCCGAGCCCTTCCGAGAAGGCGCCCTGCCTCCTTGGACGGCCCCCGCCCCCCGCCCCGCTCCTCCCGGCGTCGCCGCCGACCACCTGCGACTGCCCATGGTCTGCAGCCAGGCCACGCGGTCGGCGCGCAGGTCGGTGGCCGCGCTCGACTTCAAGAACCGAATGACCGCCATCTTCGTGGGCGGCAGGGTCGGCGTCGGGGTCGGCGCCTGCGTGGGCGCCGGCATCGCAGTGGGCATTGCTGTCGGCATCGCAGTGGGCCCCTCCGTAGGCGGTGCGGCCGTGGGCGCCTGCGTGGGCGCCGCTGTGCCTGGCGCCGCAGTGGGCGCCACCGTGGGCGACGCCGTGGTCACCACCGTGGTCGTGGGCAACGCTTCTGTGGTCGTTGTCGTGGGGATGTCCTCCTCTGGCATGTCGTCCTCCGGGACGAGGTACACCGGGGATGAAGTCACGGGCATGCTGATTGTGGATTTGCCGTTTGGGCAATAGTGCAACTGGTTGCTGGGTACACTGTTTCCCGTCATGCCAATGAACCTCATGCACCGGGGCGGGTTAATTGTCACCTGCTTGATTGATTTGCCATGCGTCGACCACACGGCGTACCTGTCGTACTCGCCGCTCGGGTCGTCGTGGCGCCGGTACCTAAGGCAGAATACACCTTGATTTCCCATTTTCTTGCACTCGTCCCCTACGTAGGAGAGATTGCCGAGCCAGGTCTGAAGCGTCATCGCTGCTAGATCCGCCACTATGCCCCGTAGCCGTCTGGAGCGCGCGAAAGTGCCTGTGCTGCCTTGCTGGTTCTCTGCATTTTTCGCAAGCCCCCTCCCCTTACCCCAAAAACTTCCGAAGCTACCATAGAGCTCCGACACCACCAGAGCAGTCACCAACGCCTCGGAGTTGCCCCAAAATGGCTTCCTGGGCAGCCTCAAAACGTCACCTAAGACTGCCTCGAGAGGTGCCCAGAAGCTCTCACACGAAGCCACACCGCAAGAAGAGGGAACGCACGACACCCCCGAGAGGCAAATTGCACATCGAGGGCCTCTGAATGTGCTCTGTCACCTTTGTCGCCTATTTTTCTCTCGCCCCGGCAAACCGCAAGAGGCTGTGGTGTTCGTCCAACAGCCCTTCAAGCAGTCCCCACGGGCATCAAGCGGCCCCAAGATGGCACAAGGACCCCTAAAAACAGCCCCGCGATGACAGAAGACCGCCCCAACACCCCAAGACGGCATGGGACCAACCCAAAGCGGCCAACATTCGCCCACTAAACGTCCCCACTGCCGTCAAAGACTGCCCCACACGGCGCTCCGAAAGAGGCTCACCCTCCAAACTTCAACGAGGCCACAACTAGTCGAACTCTGATCCCCGAAAGAGGCTCACCCTCCACTTCAACGAGGTCACACGACTTCACAACGGTCTGAAAACTCTGAATCCCCCCCGTGACCTTTCTCGGAACACACTCCTTTACTTCCGCAGGCTTCTGCCGACGGAGCAACCCCCGATTTGCTTCTGCCGGCTCCCGCTGGCGTCGGTGCTTCCACGCCGAGGCCTTTTCCGAATCGCGTTTTTGCATTTGACGGGGATGCCCCAAGCTATCCGGGGAGAGGGGGGCGCGAACCGATGACCTGACCTCTTCGCTTTGGGGAGCCACGCGTGTGCCCGTGCGCACCCCTGCAGTGGCTGAAAAGTATGCTGTTAGTGTTTCGAAGAGGTTGCTGCTGATGCTGCGACTGTGCCGCCGCCGTCCGGGAATGCCAAGGACTAGGTATTGAGAGATAGCGTCAGCATGCAGGTGAGGCTCTGGAAACAATAGGCAGGCACAGCGTGGGGGCTTGCTGGAAGTAGCCACGAACAACAGACGTAGCGCCTGCGCGCACCACGAAGCGCGTGCACACCACACACAATGCCTGCGTACACCACATCTAATGATGCAACTGCATCTGTGTGCACCACAGCGCCGGTGCACACCAGTGCGCGTGTTCACAGCAATGCTTTACACCACAGGGCCTGTGTACACCACAGCGCCGGTGCACACAACAGTGATTGCGTACACCACGACGCTCTTGTACACCACACCTGCTACTGTGAATGCGCCACAACGCCTGCTTACAACACGACCCGTGCACACAACATCAGCCGTTGGCACTGCAGCGCCCAGCGCCTGCGTGCACCATCGCTTAGCGGGCGAAGAGCGGTATAAAATAAACTTTTCCGCCGTCGGGGGCGCCTGTCCCTGGGCAGCTGGAAAATGTATGCCCCGACGTGCCACCGTGTGGGTATAAACTTTGCAACCGCCTGGGGGGCAGGCGTACCCGACGGCGGATCAACACGATGTTATACCGTTCTTCGCCCCCTGAATCGTGCGTGTGCGTGTGCGTGTGCGTGTGCGTGTGCGTGTGCGTGTGCGTGTGCGTGTGTGTGTGTGTGTGTGTGTGTGTGTGTGTGTGTCCTTCCCCCCATCTGCTCCTCTTCCTCCCCCTCCCCCTCCTCCTCCTCCTCCTCCTCCTCTTCCTCCTCCTCCTCCTCCTCCTCCTCGTCCTCATGCTACTCCTCGTCCTCATGCTACTCCTTTTCCTCCTCCTCCTCCTCTTCCTCCTCCTCCTCCTCTTCCTCCTCCTCCTCATCCTCGTCCTTCTCCGCCTCCTCCTCATCCTCCTCCCCATTCTCCTCCTCCTCCCGTTGCATGCGCCAACCAATTCGGAAATCACGTCGCACCGTCGTGTGCCTTGCACTGGAACGGCATTCGAATCGAATCGTAATCGAGTCGCGGCGGGGGGGTGGCTTCCCGCGTCGAATTTGCGTCCCCGCGGCAATTTTCGAACCGAACTGGCCGAACCGAACTGGCCGAACCAGAAACCCTCGGCCGAACCGAACCAGCCGAACCGGGCCGAACCAGCCGAACCAGGCTGCCGAACTGGACTGGCCGAGCCAGACAGGCCGGTTGGCTCGAACCAGACCGGCCGAACCGGACCCGACGGTGATCGGAACTGGACCAGCCGAACCGACCCGAAGGCGCGCCGACCCGGGCCGAACCGAACCGAACCGGGGCCATCCTGCAGATCTCACCGCATGGGTTGCACCACGTAGATCTACCGCGTTGATTGCGCCACTTAAGCTGCGCCGCGAAGTTTGCAAGACGTCACTGTTTGGGGCCCACGCTGGCGAACATCTCTACGACTCTTGACTTTTCAGGCCCAGCGTACGGCGTCCCCACTCCAGGGCCAAAGCGCCTGCGTACACCGCGCTGTCTATGTGCACCTCCATGCCCGCGTGCGAAACATTGTGTCTGTCCGCCGCAGCCGTCGCGGCAGCGCGCGTGCGCCGCAGCGCCCGTGGACGCCATGGGGTCTGGCGACTCCCCCTCGATATTCTGTTCGGCGGGTTGCCGAGCCGTCTCGTCTGTAGACGCCACGAGAAGATAGCAGCGCGGAAGAGGACGATGAGGAGTTGGACATCGACGAGGGGAGAGAGGAACAGCGTAATCTTCAACATCAGCGACCGAAGCACTGCACGCGTCAGCGGGGGGCCAGTGCTGGACCTGAGCTGGGCCCCCCGACCGCGCAATGAACCTCTTGGATCTCGCCGAACACATCCATGAAGGACGCCTCCAGAACCGCGACGAGGAGGATCAACAGCAGCAGTACCTCCTTCAGGAGGGAGGCGGGCTTACCCAGCCCAAGGCGCCCGCTGATCACCTGACGCCGCCAGCCGCCGCCGACAGTCCGCCACGAGGTCCGCCGCCCCTGAACTCGCCGACTCCGACCGCGCGAGCGCGAGAAGCACGCGCTCGCGAACGTCGAGCTTCCCGAGGTCGCCGTGCAGCGGGATCACCGATGCCGAGGCCGCGCCCACCCGCCGACGGCGCCGCGCCCGCGGCAGCGCCAGCAGCCACGCGGAACTCGCCAGCGAACTCGTTGTCGGGATCAGAAGACGCCGAGGAACTGGCGGCGGCAGCCTCCACGGCGCCCGCCGCGGGCGGAGGGGCAGGGCCCGCCTCCCCGCCAGCCCCGGGCGCCCGCGCGCCGCCCGCGAGCGCCCGCCGCTCCGCGCGGCGCTGGCGGCGGCGCTGCGCCGCGGCCCGCCGCGGCGGCGCCAGGCGTCGGCGGCGGAGCGGCGCCGCGCCGCTCCGCAGGGCGCCGCCGGCAGCCTCCGCGCCCGCGCCGCGGCGGCCCCGGGGGGCCACGCAGGAGTGGGCCCAGCCTCCCGGGGGGGCAGGCTCGGCAGCAGACGGCTCGGCAAGCCCCGACAGCGCGAAGAGTGCTGCCGAGACCCGCGAGCGCGCCGCGGCCGCAGCCGCGCGCCGCGGCGCCAGTGGCCAGGATCGCAGCGCGCACAACCGCCTCCACCTGGGAGGCCGCCGCGGCGGGCGCCAGAGCTCCTCCTGCCCCTCGAGCTCCAGCCAGCGCGGTCGACCGATGCGTAGGGCACGCGACTGCTGCAGCCAGAATGAAGGAAGAGCAAGGGAAGGTGGACGACGGTAGCGAGGACGAGAATTGGGATAACCAGGAAAAAACTCAGTGTCAGCAGAAGCGGGACCTCTCAGCAACGGGTGAGTCGCCATGAACTGTCGCAGATGGGTGAGTCGCCATGATGGGTCACAGATGGGTGCTTCCATGAACAGAAGCTTCATGTCATACTCTCACATGCAACCTCAATCGAAGCGCCGTCTAGCCGACCAGCTATTTGGTTGACGGCTCCAGGCGGCTTGCGAGCGGCATCGCCCCCATGAGCGCTACGGCGCCCCCTGAACGCTGCACGGGCACGAACACTGTAACGTCTACGAACAGTTCGGTTCCAAACACCGCCGCCCCATACGTGCGGGCAGTACCGCAAAGCGGGAGAGCACCTCACCATAATATACGGGAATCGCAGCCCCTGCGAACACCACCGTGCTTGCGAACACTGGCGTGCCCCTGCGAACACCACCGCGCCGTTGGACGCCGCGTTCCCTGTGAGCTTCCTGCGCACCCCCCTCGGACTTGCCCAACTGACAATGCCAGGATATCTTGGGGGCTCCGGTCCAGGACTCCCCAAGACAGCCCCTCGATGGCCAAAGAGACCCCCAGACGGCCCAAGACGGGCCCAAGAGCAGGAACACTACCTCACATGTCGAAGCCTTCGCCCCCAAAGTGCCCCTGAACACCAGCAGCCTCCCAAGATAGCCCCCCAAAAGGCTTCCCGAGACGGCCAAAAAGCCCCTGAGAGAGGCCTCCTCCTCTCCCGCCACCTCCCGGCTGTTGCTGATCCCTTTTCAGGGTCGGCGGAAACAGCCATAGACCTTTACAGTACAAGTATTCTTCTTCGTCTCTCTCTCTCTCTCTCTCTCTCTAGAGAGAGAGAGAGAGAGAGAAAGAGAAAGAGAAAGAGAAAGAGAGAAAACAACAACAACGGAGAGAACAACAACGAACAAACATGCTACATGCAACGGCCTCCCGATCGAACCTGTGAGGGTTGCCACACCGAGCGCTGCGCTGGCGGCGTTCGCCCAAGGCCACTGGATACGCAGGCTTGGCGAACGTGTGCCAGCTGTGCGAGAAGTCAGCATGGTTCTGCGTGGCGCCGAAATTGTGCTCCGCGTTCATCCCGCTGTCCCCGTCGTTCTTCCAGTCGTACCAGATGCTGAACGAGATGCCCGTCCTGTCGTGGATCAGCCACTGGCGCGCCAGCCTCGTGGCCTGCTCGAGCCCCGTGATGAGGTCGCCCGTGCCGGCGCCGCGCGCAGGGCACGCCTTGGGCTGCTTGCCCTGCCAACAGGTGGCCCACCCCCACTCGCTGCTGATCAGGGGCATCCCAGACGTTTCTGGGTGGCGACTGAGCCTCTGCCTCAGCTGCGACCACGAGCCCATCACGTCCTCGGGGATCGCCCTTCGGTACGGGTGCGCGGAGATGCCGTCGAACTCTGCTGACCCTTGCTTGCCAAGGGTGACAAGGCGGCACACGAGCTGCTTGGCTGCCCCCAACCCCTGTCACCCTTCCCCGCGACTTCCGCTTGAAAGGGTGGGACAATGTGTGGTGGGGCTTAAAGCTTAGTGGGCCCTGGAAACGACAAGGCCGTTTTTTTACCGGTTCCGTTTTGCCGTTTTTTCGCCGGTTCCGACGCCGTTTTTTTTCCGGTTCCGTCGCCGTTTTTGGACCGGTTCCGGCTCCGGTTCCACTCCTGGAGCCGTTTTCTTGCCGTTTCCGGTCGCCGTTTTTTGGCCGTTTCCATTTTCAAGGGACACTTTTTTGGAAAACGGTGAAAAAACGGCCCTGCAGTTTCCGGGGCCCACCAAGGCTTTAGTGCCTAGAAGCTCCTCAAAGCACCTCCCTGGCCCTCCGAGCGTCCGAAGCCGGCCTCCGAGGTGCTACAGATGCCCTCCATGCCGGCGCAGGAAGGGCCTGACACACGCCTGAGAGCAAAGAGGCTGCAACAAATACAGTCGGGGCCTTGACCTAAGGAGCTCTAAATAAGGAACGAGGCCCCCTTGTCCCATACGTTAAACTTCGATTCCCCATGGGAAACCTAAGGACAACCCAAGGCAAACTGTAAAACAATCAAGGAACACCGAGCCCCTCCCCAACGAAAAGGGTTCCTTCTCCAGCGCCCCGACTGTACTCGATATGGTTTCGGAGACATCAGAGTCTGAGCCCCGACACCCAATGCGAATGAGTCTGAGCGCGAATGACTACGAACGCAGAACAAGTTGAATGCGAGTGGTAGATCATACAGAAAAAGAATGTGCCAGTGCTCTGAAACGGCCAGTGGCATGAACACAGTCAGCACGACCGTCGGCTCTTGGTGTTAGAAGCTGAAAACTAGCGTCCGCAGTCGGCATTGGACCAGACTGGCGCAGCGAAGCGACGAGACAAACATCGACGATTTGCCTGAACTGGCGTTCTACCTGGGAGATCCCAACAATCTGGGCGCGACGGGCCCTTGATATACCCTTGCTCTATATTCCCGCGGGAAGCCCAGATGCGATGTCCTCTACACCGCAGACATCAAGGGTTGCTCGAAAGAGACGCGTTCACTTCCGCGAATGGGCGTTCTGCCTGAGCGATTCACCCCCAGGGTTTGGGAGCGAACAGTTCGGCACCCCCATGGGAGGCCTGCGCACTATGTCTGGGCTGGGACATCGCGTTGGTCGCGGGGTTCTGGGAAGGCACACGTTACTTCCCGATACGGGCCTTCTACTCTTATGTCGGGCGTGTCCCCCTACAGGGGGATTTCGACGAATAATAAAACATACGCCATAAATGCTCCAAAAAGGTCAAGCAATACCCAAAACAGAAATACCCAGACTACTTTTGCATTATTGCTGCATCATGTTGTGCGTTTTTGTTATTTATTTTTGTCGTCGGAAATCCCCCTGTAGGGGGGCAGGCCCGACCTAAGTCTGCTTCCCGATATACGGGCCTTCGACTCGGCAGCTCCGCAAGCGCGAGCCCGATCGGGGCCGCGACGCCGTCGAGGCCTAAGTCGGGCGTGCCCCCCTACAGGGGGGCTTTGGGCGAAAAGCCAAACATACACACCAAACATACCCCCCAAATGCTCAAAAATAGTAGTATGATAAATCGTCCCCAGACTATGTTCAAACTATTTTTGAACAAGTGGAGGGACAACTGTCCCTGTAAAAACACACGTTTTTGAACTAGGCTTTGATTTGTTTTCGAAATATTTTTGATAAAAAATCGTCAAACATCGCCCCTGTAGAGGGACACGCCCGACTTAAGCCGAGGCCGAGACCCCGCCGTGGGAGGCCCCCGACACGCCGCATCGCCGATGCATCGGCGATGCATCGTCGACGTTGCCGAGGCCTCGGCGACGTCGACGTGAAGCAAGTCGGGCTGCGCGTCGAGCCGCATCGCCGATGCATCGGCGATGCGGCGCGATCCTCCGACCCCATCTACTCCGACCCCATCTGGGAGGCCTAGAATGCTCGACACCTCCATGGGAATCCGAAGCACACAATTCCTGGTGCATCGCGGTGATCGCGGGGCCAGGAAAACGACTCGCGGCCACTTCCCGAAGCGGGCGCTCTGCCTGATACACGCCCCGACAGCGTGGCCCGTGAACCACGCCCGGCCGTGCCCCTTGGACAGCGCACACGCGGCGCCTTCTGCATCGCGCCGCGGTGTTCCAGGAAGAATCGAGGCGTGGAGGAGGAGGAGGCGTGGAGGAGGAGGAGGAGGAGGAGGAGGAGGAGGAGGAGAGGAGGAGGAGGAGGAGGAGGAGGAGGAGGAGGAGGAGAAGGAGGAGGAGGAGGGGAGGAGGAGAAGGGGGGGGGAGGGGAAGGGGGAGGGGAGGAGGAGGAGGAGGAGGAGGAGGAGGAGGAGGAGGAGGAGGGAGGAGGAGGAGGAGGAGGAGGAGGGAGGAGGAGGAGAAGGAGGAGGAGGAGGAGGAGGAGGAGGAGGAGGAGGAGAGGAGGAGGAGGAGGAGAGGAGGAGGAGGAGGGGAGGAGGGAGGAGGAGGAGGCGGAGGGAAGGGAGGAGGAGGAGGAGGAGGAGGAGGAGGAGGAGGAGGAGGAGGAGGAGGAGGAGGAGGAGGAGGAGGAGGAGGAGGAGGGGGAGGTGGAGGATGGGGAGGCGTGGTGCGAATAGTAGGAAGCCCTCGCACCGGATCACTGAGAGGTGCGTGGTCGGCGTGCCGCTTCCAGACGTCGCCGAACGGCCCAGGATAAACAGACAGAAACTGCCAACCAGCCCTCGTCGTCGTCGTCGTCGTCGTCGTCGTCGTCGTCGTCGTCGTCGTCGTCCCCACCACATCCCATCTGGGGGGGAGGGGGGGGGCCCGAGGAATCCTGGGACCATGCCATCTGGGGGGGGGGGGCCGTGGGCCTGGAGCCCGGGATCATATATGGGCGATTTCGGAAACCCTGAACCCAAAAACGTTTTCATCTCTTGGGGGCGCATCTTCTACCTCCGCCGCCTTCCGCCAACCTTCTGCCGGCTTCTGCTGGCGGAGGCGGCATCGGTTTACTTTCACCGACCTTCCGCCGCCCTGCCGCCACGGGCGGAAGAGATGACAACTCCTCCTACTCGCGATTGCAAGGCCCCCGAGCGGCTCCAAAGAGCCCAGGATCGCAGCAATAGTTCCCCAAAAGCCCCCGCATGGCGGTGAGACTCACCAGGAAGGCCTGGAGATGGGCCCGCACAAGCCCCAACAGCTCCTCTTCCTCCTCGTCCTCCTTCTCCTCCTCCTCCTTTTTCCTCCTCCTCCTCCTCCTGCTCCTCCCCCTCCTCTTCTCAGGTGGCGTCCAGGACGGCACCAGAGCTGCTCTAAGGCACCCGCAGAGCGTCCTGGCGCAGCGGTCACAGCTGGAGCAGCAGCAGCAACACACAACGCTGTCTGGACCCGAGGCAGACGCGCGCATCGTGCGCTGCGCTGGCACTGTGGCGAGGCAGAGAGGCGCACAGTGTGCCGCGCTGGCGGAACCTGGCGCGGGCACCTGGGCAGTACCTTTCAAGCTGTCTCGCGCCCGACTGGCCTCCAGGCCCCACAACGCCCCCAGCAGACCGTGGCCAGCCGAACCGAACGGAGGCCCACAAACCCCGCCAGACGGAGGAGGATATGGCACTGTCGAGGGCAGCGTCGCGCTGTGCACGAGCGCCCACCAAGGGCGCCAAGCTGCTGGCAGCCTGGCTGGCCTGTGAGGAGGCTGGGACCCCACCAAGAGGATCTCGGGTACCAGCCACACAGACAAAGATACGGGGGTTAAGCCCCGCAGCCTGGGTGAGAAGGTGGGCTCCCGTGGAGCCTGACCCAATGGGTCTCAGGGTCTGAGACAAGAAGCGGACGAGGTGCGGGAACTCGACGTGAGCCCTCCATTCCTTCATCCGCAGGATGAAAACCTTGCATGAAAAGGCGTCGGTTGCGCACCGCACGTTCTGACAGGCGGGGCGTGCTTCCCGATGGGCAATCAATTAGGAGGTGACCAGCCGCGCCCGTCGTAAAAGCCCCACAGGAACCGCACTGGCAAACATGGCCCGAGGAAACCCAGAGTCGGTGGCCGCGAGCGGCCGTGGAAGGAACGGGGCCCGCTCCTGGCATAGGCTCGGCTGGTACTGTCGTGTCGGCCAGCGAGGGCCGACTTGGGCGCTTGGAGCCGATCCGCCTCCACTTGTCGGGGAGGAAGGTGGGCCCCGAGCGCTCTGGAAAAGAAAGAACCCTGGCAGTGGCTTCGGCCTGGACACTCGCAGCACCATCCCAGGCAGCAGCGACGGGCTCGAAGCCCACACGTGGCCTGACGTGCCTTTCAAAGCCAGGGGAGGGGCAACGAGGGCGAGGCAAGGAAGGGCTACCCAGGCCCGAGGACGGAGGGGGGGGATCCGCCTCCCCTTGGTCACACACCTGGCCACGCGTGGGGGACTCCGTCCGAGGGCGCACCGATCGAAATGAGTCCGAGGGGGAGCGCGGTCGCACAGCAGCACCGAAGCTGCTGCCCTCATTCGTCGGCATCTGCCCTTCATTGTCAGCCTGGGCGCGCGCAGCGTGACCAGGAGGGGTGACAGTGGAGGGGTGCCGAAGGATGGCGGCGGCAGCACGCAAACGAGCAGGGCAGGCAAGCTCAGAGAGACGACGACGGGTCCTTTCCAGCTTTGAGCCCTTTCTACAAAAATCGCATCCCCAAATGCTGCGATGGGGGACCTGGGTAAAAACATGGCGCAGGTGAACCGATTCCTCCCTGGGCTCCAGAGGGGCCGAGGGACGCCGAGGGCGTCGACATTTGATGCGGGGCCGAGTGTCGACCCGCTGTTCGCCAAAGAAAAGTCCCAGGGCAGTAGGAGGAGGAGGAGGAGGAGGAGGAGGAGGAGGAGGAGGAGGAGGAGGAGGAGGAGGAGGAGGAGAAGGGGGAGGAGGGATCCGACGGCCAAGCCGATACTTACAATCCCAAGGTGGCCCCAAGAATTCTCTCTGGGGCAGCGAGGGCGCACTCCTGCTTTCAAGCCCGCTTCGTGCCCCCGACCGCCACCGCCCCCTCCCCATCCCCCTCCCCTTTGCCACCCTACTCCGTCTGGCCTTCCTCCTCCTCCTCCTCCTCCTCCTCCTCCTCCTCCTCCTCCGTGCTCATCTGTTCTGCTCTACCTAAACTAGGCACCCCCTGCAGCTTACACTTCGCTCGACTCCAATAACTGTGGGGCCAGCGTAACTGCGCAAGCACCTTGAAAGCTTCATGAGCCCATGGTGGACACAAACCATGATGAAATCTATGTCGAGACCTGAGGTGGCAGGCCCAATGACGATCTCGTCGCGGATTTGCGGGTCAGATCGGACACGATGCAAGACTTTGGAAGCTAACGCAGTATATTCTACCCTGGCTTCTTCCTTGAGCTTTCCATATTGCGCCCAGAACCCGTTCGGTTCGTTGTACAGCTCCCAGATTATGCCTTTGCCCTTGAAGTGTGTCATCGCTTGCTGTGCGTAGTTGGCGAACTTGTGCTGGCAGAAAGGGGTCCTGGGATGGTCTGGGCAGCCGTACAGCGGGTTGCCGTAGCAGAGGATGAACATAGGCTGCACGCCGTTCCTCTGCAGACTCTCCACGAGCTGGTCCCACTGCGCGAAATTCCGCTGGCGCCCCCTTGCCGAGGGTGACAGGGCGTGAGAAGCATTTGACTGTTCTCCTCCCCCTGCTTGCCCCTACCTGGAAGCCCAAATAGCCGACTTCGGAAACACTGACGATAACGCTACTCCCCGGACCTCTCCCTGGGTGCGTTCTGACCAGGACTTCGAAGCGAATCCAGCGGTGGCGACGAGGGCCTCCCAGGAGGCCCAAAAATGGGAAAACGAGGGAAGGGTAATTAGCGGTATGGGAATCTTCCCAGACATGTGACGTCCTTATTTTTTCAAGACGGCGTCCCCGGAAGTCCAGACCCTTTCCCCGGGGCCGGTTTTTCATCCCAACTCACTCTTTGACGCTCCGGGGGCCCGGCGAGGACCCCCTGGGGGCCGAAAACATCGAAGAACTTGCCATCCTGATGATGTTTACGACGCGATCATGTCTGGGTTTCCTCCTCTGGGAATCCATACACACTTCCTGACGACGCTGCCCTTTCCGCCTCCTCCTCCTCCTGATTCCTCCTCCTCCTCCTCTTCCTCCTCCTCCTCCTCCTCATTCCTCCTCCTCCTCCTCCCCGCCGCCCTCCGCCCAGGCCGCCGCCGGCCTCGCCCGCTTCCGCCTGCCGTCCGCCGGCCTCCGTCCGCGGAGCCGCCGCCGCTCCGCTTCCCTTGGGGGTCGGGCACGTCCTCTTTGGGACGAACGATTGGCAAAGGCCCCCAAACAGATTCAAACACATATGCGCATGCATGTGCAAAAGGTATGCGTGGGAGCATGTATGCATGTGTGCATGTATGCATGCATGCATGCATGTATGCATGTAGATGTGTATGTATGGATGGATGGATGGATGGATGGATGGATGGATGGATGGATGGATGGATGGATGCATGTACGTATGTGTCTATGTATGTATGTATGTATGTATGTATGTATGTATGTATGTATGTATGTATGTATGTATGTATGTATGTATGTATGTGCGTATATATGTATGTACGTATGTATGTATGTATGTGTGTATGTATGTATGCATGTGTGTACGTATGCATGCATGCATGCATGCATGCATGTATGTATGTATGTATGTATGTATGTATGTATGTATGTATGTATGTATGTATGTGTGTGTGTATGTGTATGTGCATGTGCATGTGTATGGGTAGGTGTAGATGTAGGAGGTGTATGTATGTGTGTATGTAAGTATGTAAATATGTGTGTATGCACGGATGTATGTATATATGGATGTATGAATGCATGGATGCATGGATGTATGAATGTATCTATGTATGTATGTATGTACGTATGTATGCCTGCCTGCCTGCCTGCCTGCCTGCCTGCCTGCCTGCCTGTCTGTCTGTCTGTCTGTCTGTCTGCCTGTATGTGTGTAAAAAACAAATGATTAGTCTGGCGAAGGACCCAACAACATGCAGTTGTGAGTGCCGCAATTGTGAATGTCTTCTTCGGTGGAGCTCCATATGGGGCCACGGAGCGCTGCACTGGGCGGGGGGACCGCATGCGGGCACCCCCATTCGGGCCTTCGGTGGAGCTCCCTATGGGGCCACGCGACCGCACGCGGGCACCCCCTCGAGGGCTTTCGGTGGAGCTCCCTGTGGTGCGGGGGCCGCATGTCGGCCCCCCCACAGGGGCCTTCGGTGGAGCTCCGCATGCGGCCACGGAGCGCTGCAATGGGTGGGGCGGACCGCATCATGCGGGCACCCCCACTGGGGCCTTCGGTGGAGCTCCGTATGGGACCACGAAGCGTGTGAAGGGTGTGCCAAAGTGACGGGATGACGGGAGGAGGGAGGAGGGGGAGGAGGAGGAGGAGGAGGAGGAGGAGGAGGAGGAGGAGGAGGAGGAGGAGGAGGAGGAGGAGGAGGAGAGGAGAAGAGAGGAGAGGAGAGAAGAGGAGAGGAGAAGAGAGGAGAGGAACGCGAGGGCACAACACCACATGACGGTTGGGAAACACAATTATCCTGGCGAAGGACCCAACCATATGCAGTTGTGAATACCGCAATTGTGAAATCTTCGGTGGGGCTCCCTATGGGGCGACGTAGCGCTGCACTGGGTGGGGGGGGGAACGCATGCGTGCGATAGCATTTGGGCCGTCGGTGGAGCTCCGTATGGGGCAACGAAACGCTGTACTGGGTGGGTGGGGGTGGGGGGGGGACGCATGCGGGCGGTAGCACTTGGGCCTTCGGTGGAGCTCCAAATGGGGCCACGAAGCGCTGGGTGGGGGGGACGCCTGCGGGTGGTAGCACTGGGACCTTCGGTGGCGCCACGAAACGCTGTACTGGGTGGGGGGACGCATGCACCCTCACTGGGGCCTTCGGTGGAGCTCCCTGTGGGACCACGACGCGCTGTACTGGGCGTGGCGGACGCGTGCGGGCACGCCAACAGGGGTCTTCGGTGAAGCTCCCGATGGGGCGACGGATGGCGGACGCATGCGGGCACCCCCACTGGGGCCTTCGGTGGAGCGCCCTATGTGGCCACGAAGCGCTGCACTGGGTGGGGGGGACGCATGCGGGCACCCCCACTGGGGCCTTCGGTGAGGCTCTCTATAGGGCCACGAAGCGCTGCACTGGGTGGGGCGGACCGCATGCGCCCCCCCCCCCCCTGGGGCCTTCGGTGGAGCTCCCTATGAGGCCACGGAGCGTGTGAAGGGAGTGCCAAAGTGACTGGGTGACGGGAGGAGGGAGGAGGGGGAGGAGGAGGAAGATAAGAGAGGAGAGGAGAGGAGAGGAGAGGAGCGAGGAACGTGGGAACCGTCTCTTAGAAACGAGGACCCAGCACCACAGGATGGTCGGGAATACTCCAGATCTCGTAATCAAGGGAGGGGGTCTCGTTTCGGGGGGGGTCTCTTCCAGGCTATCTTGGAGGTCCTGGGGGGTCAGGGGACGATGTTTTGGAGGGTTCTCCCACGGGGGAGGTCTGAAATGGCTTGTCTTGGAGGGTCCAGACCCCCTCCCTTTTATTACGAAATCTGGAGTAATCGAACAATCGTCCCCAGAGGACTGTTGGACTACTTTTGAATAGCCCTCCCGTAGAGGGACACGCCCGACTCAGCACTTCCGCCCCCCCCCCGCCCGCAGGAAGAGAGAGGCGCGAGGCGGCCGCCGAAGGCCAGGCCCCGCCTCCTGGAGAGTGCCCCCTCTCCGACGAGCTCTCCCCCACCTTGTGTCCCCCTGCTGATGGGCCTGTTTTCCACCACCACCACCACTATAGTATAAGTTGGAGGAGGGAAGGAGGTGGAGACAGAAAAGGAGGAATACGAGGAGGAGGAGGCATACGAGAAGGAGGAGGAGGAGGAGGAGGAGGAGGAGGAGTAGGAGGAGGAGGAGGAATACGAGAAGGAGGAGGAGGAGGAGGAGGAGGAGGAGGAGGAGGAGGAGCCCTCCCCCTCCATGGTGGTGGCGGTGGAAAACCAGCCCACCACCTGCTCCCGCAGGCCAACTTCGAGGCCTCCTGCATGTGGTCGGAGCCGATGGGGCCGGAGGGTCGCGCCGCATCGCCGCTGCATCGGCGACGCCTCGGGGATGCACCGGCGAGGCACCGGCGAGGCATCGGCGCGGCCCCAGCGAGGCATCGGCGCCGTCGGCGATGCATCGGCGACGTCGGCGTGCTCCGCATCGAGCCGCATCGGCAACGAATCGGCGATGCGGCGCAATTCTCCGACCCCATTGCGGGCAATCCACATCCAGTGCGTCTTGGATTCTTGGGCTCTCTTCCCCAGAAACTGTAGACGCACTGCATATGGGTAAAAATCTGGCCCCAAGAGGCTTGATTTTATCCATATCCAGTGCGCCTCGGCGTTGCGGCACCTCTTCCCAAAAAGTCCACGACGCTCTGGATATGGATATAAGTACTGCCCGCACCCATCTCCTCCGACCCCATCTGGGGGGCCCAGACAAATCCTGCTTGAGGCGGAGTGGGGGGGACGAGCTCAAGCCCGGGCGGCGGCGGGGCAACGTGAGCCTCGAGAACGAACTGGTTCTTCACCCTCTCGGCCTTGTGCCAGAACAGGTCGACGCGCGTCATCTTGAAACCCTTCGACAGCGCGGCAATCTCAGACTGGTGGTCGCCTGAGCATTGGGTCTCTCCTTCTCACCCTATTCTCTCCCGAGGCCCAAGGAGCCTCCGGGAGCCCCATGGGGGCCCCCGGGAGCCTGTGGAGGCCCCGTGAGCCCCGCAGATAGTACGAACACCGCGGTCCTCGATCCTGCTCGAAGCCTCGATCCGCATCAGTCGTCCTCAATCTTGGAACCCTCGATCCTCGAAGCCTCGATTCTCCTCGAAGCTGCGGGCAGGTGGGCTTTCCCTGAAACGCGGCCCTCCGACCGTCTTCCTCCTCCTCCTCCCCCTCCTCCTCCTCCTCCTCCTCCCCCTCCTCCTCCTGTTTTTCTCCTCCTCCTCCTTCTCCTCCTTTTCCTCCTTCTCCTCCTTCTCCTCCTCCTCCTCCTCCTCCTCCTCCTCCTCCTGTCCTTCTTCCTCCTCCTCCTCCTCCTCCTCCTCCTCCTCCTCCTGTTCTTCTTCCTCCTCCTCCTTTTTTCTCTATGATGAAGGCAGGAGGAGGACGATGGTAACACAGTTTCTGCAGCCTGGCCGCACCCATAACAGCGTGCCAGGCAGACAGCTCGACCGACGAAGGGGTGACGACTTGGATTGCACGAGGAGGAGGAGGAGGAGGAGGAGGAGGAGGAGGAGAGGAGGCGGAGGAGGAGGAGGAGGAGGAGGAGGAGGAGGAGGAGGAGGAGGAAGAGAGGAGGAGGAGGAGGAGGAGGAGGAGGAGGAGGAGGAGGAGGAGGAGGAAGAAGAGCAGGAGGAGGAGGAGGAGGAGGAGGAGGAGGAGGAGGAGGAGGAGGAGGAGGAGGAGGAGAGAGGATAGGAGGAGAGAGAAGGAGGAGGAGGACGGGAGAGCAGGCTGGCGCGGAGGGAAGACGACTCGGAGCGGCCAGGGCTGGCGACTCCAGGCGGTCGACGGCTGAGCATTCGACGCGCCTGCGGGGAGGGGGATATGGGAAAAAGCTTAAGTCGGGCGTGTCCCCCTACATAGGGATTTTCGACGAAAAATTAGCAATACTCAGTTGACTGTTTTTGCATATTCCTCCTGTAGAGGGACGGGCCCGACTTAAGAATAAGCAACGACGATACATAAGAATGCTCGCGAGGAACCCAACCACATGAAATTGTGAGTGCCACGTTGTGGGTACCGCTTTCAGTGGGGCTCCCTGTGGGGCCACGCTGCGTGTGAGGGGTGTGCCTGTGTCGACATGGGCGCCGTGGTGCCAGGCGAACGCAGCCAATGGGGCCCATGGTGGAGCTCCGTATGGCCACGTGTGCCGAGATGGGCACGGTAGCGTCATGCGAACGCAGCCACGACACGCGTGAGGCGTGTGCCGGTGTTGTAGGGCCGTGCGAACGCAGCCACTGGGGCCTTCGGTTGAGCTTACTAGGGGGGCCACGACTCGTGTAAGGGGTGTGCCGACATGGCTGCAGTAGGGCCATGCGAATGGCGCCATTGGGGCCTTCGGTGGGGCTCCTTATGGGGCCACGAAGCGTGTGAGGGGTGCGCCAAAATGGGCGCGGTGGTGCCATGCGAACGCATCCACTGGGGCCTTCGGTGGAGCTCCTTCTGGGGCCACGAAACGTGTGAGAGGTGTGCCGAAATGGGCGCGGTGGTGACATGCGAACGCAGCCACTGGGCCCTCTGGAGCTCCGTATGGGGCTACCCATCGTGGGAGGGGTGTGCCGACATGGGTGCGGGGGTGCCATGCGAACGCAGCCACTGGGGTCCCCTCTGGAGCTCCGCATGGGGCCACGTGCCGACATGGGTGCGAGCGCGGGGGTGCCATGCGAACGCAGCCACGAGGGCCTTCGGTGGAGCTCCGCATGAGGCAAGGGAACGCGTGAGGGGTGTGCCGAAATTGGTGCGGCACGGCCATGCGAACGCAGCCACTGGAGCCTTCGCCGGAGCTCCGTGTGGTGCCACCAATCGTGGGAGGGGTGTGCCGACGTGGGCGCAGTAGCGCCATGCGAACGCAGCCACTGGGGCCCCCTGTAGAGCTCCCCATGGGGCCACGACGCGTGTGAGGGGGTGTGCCGAAGCAGAAGCACGCGGAGGGCAGAGGCAGGAACGGGAGGCGGGAGGGAGGGCAGCGGCAGGGAAGGAATGTGACTCGGGTCGGGCGAAAGGAGGGGATAGCAAAGGGGGGGTTTGAGAATGGCCCGAGTGACGCGGACCGTTGTCCCTTGAAGACGCAAAAACCCCAAACCACAGGATGGTCGAGAAACACACGGAGGTCCGCGCGGACTCCTCAGATCGGCGCGGGGGCCCTCTGGCGGCGCCTCTGGCGCCGCCCCTGGCGCGCTCCGCGAGCCAGGGAGGGGGGTCCAGCGCCGATCCGAAAAATCCGCGTGGGCTTCCGAGTTTTTGTGCTTATGTCATTTTTTGTTCCCCGAGGGGAGGCTGGCGATTGTGCGCCCCCTCGAAGCGAGTCGGAGCGGGCTCCCTTCCTTACTGTGTTGGATGTGGAAAGGTTGGCGGCGCGCACAAGGGGGTAGGGGGAGGGGGGAAGGCTTCTTAGAAGGAGGCTGCTTCTTAGAAGTCGTGGGCCTTCACCTATTGACAAGACCAGCGCCTTCTAAGAAGCAGGGGTGCTTCTAGGAAGCCATCCCCCCTCCCCCTACAGTCAACCCGCATCAATCGGATGCGCGGTAACGATGCAAGGGCCTTGAACGCCCATTTCGAAGCTTCTCGAGCGGGGCGCGGTCCACGGAAGCGGACCGAGGAGGCAAGGATGCACGGGTACCCTTGGGATGGTTGCCCCTCCTGATTATGCGGGTTGCCTGTGCCCCCCCTCTACGCTTATGTCGGGCGTGTCCCCCTACAAGGCGATTGTCGACGAAAAGCAAAACATAATACCCCGAACATGAAAACTACTCAAAACAAAATCCCCAGACTATCTTTGGACTATTTTGGGATTGTTTTTGGAGTATTTCTCTATTGTTCGTCGAAGACCCCCTGCAAGGGGGCCAGGCCCGACTCAACTCTGCGCGTGGCCGGCACGGGTCCGCGCGGTGACCGACGGCTCGCGCCTGCACCCGGCAGACCCGCGGATCGCCCGAGCGGGCTGGGGCCCGCGCTCCGAGGGCTTACCAGCCTGGAACATATGAAGGGGAACTGGAACACACAAATAAATACACACAAATAAGAATATCCCCCATATTTTCGCATATTTTCTGGGTTTTTGTCTTCCCCCCCATTTCTCATATTTTCCCACATTGTCTGGGAATCGCCGATTAATTGTGTCTGTGTGTTTTTCCCCCTCCTGAACATAGCCCTATCCCTATGCTGGGCACCTCCTCGTCACGATGCCAATCTTCGGGGTTCCCTTCTTTTTAGAGGGCGGATCCCTAAGGTTGTCATCGCCTTTTGGCGTGTCAACCTTAGGGGTAGGGATACGTTCGAGGCTGGTAAAGGGCCTCCGTGGCGGGCGCCTCGGAGCCCACGGCCTCGCGGCTGGCCGCCGGGCGGCGCAGCGAGCGGAGCTGCCGGCCGCCGCTGGAGCACTCGCGACTCGCCGCGCGCGGAGTGGCCGCCCTGCGTGGTGGAGCGAACCCCGTGGACTGGCATGAAGTCGGGTGTGCCCCCCTACAGGGGGACATTATGCGAAAAAGGAAGAACACCCCCAAAATATCCCCCCAAAACTATAAAAGGGTCAAAACATCGTCCCCGGACTATTTTTGGACTGTTTTTTTTGAATACTCCCCCTGCAGAGAGGGACAGGCCCGACTCAAGCCTGGCAGCGCGCCGACCCGTGGGAGGCGACCGCGCCGCACTGCCGCTCGGGCCCCCTGCGGGCCCGCAGGGCCAGAGCCCAGCTGGCACGTGCCGAGGCCGGCACGTGTCAGAGCAGGCCAGGCCAGCAGCGCCCGCGGCAGCCGCGGGGCGCTCGCGCCGGTGCAGCGCGCGGCGGCCGCCGTGGAGCTGGCCGCCCTGGAGGCCAACCGCGGCAGCGCCGGCCCTGGCGGGCCTCGGGCGCGCGTTGGGTGGCGCCCGGGCGCCGGCGCGGGCGGGCGCCGCGGGCCGGCATCGCGGCAGCCGCCGCTGCCGCTGCGGCGCCGCCCCCGCCGAGGGCGCGCTGCCGTGGCAGCCGGCGGGCGAGGAGGCGCCCGCGCGCCCCACGCCGCCGCGGGAGGCCGCCGCAGCGGAGGGCGGGCGGCCCGGCTGGCGGCCGCACGCGGCGGTGGGCGGGCCCCGCGCGGGTCGCCCGCGGTGCGGCCGCTGGGCGCCGAGCCGGCCGGTGCTCGCGAGGCCGGCCGTGGGGCGGCTGGGGCCAGAGGCTCGCCCCGGAGCCGCTCGGGGGGCGGCGGCGCGGCCGCCGTGCTCGCGCCCGCCCCCCCGCCTCGCCCTCGTCCTCCTCGCCATCGCTCGGACGGCCATTCCCTGTGTTTTTTTCGGTTTCGTGCGTGGTTTTTTTTGCCACATGATCAAGGATGCTCCTCGATGGTCCCCCACCGAAGAAAAATGCGCACGTCCGAGCGATGCCAAGCCTCCTCGCCGCCCTCGTCGTCGTTTTCCTTCACCCTGCCGCTGGGCTTCGTTGCGCTGATCACAGCAGGCGTGTCGGCTGTGGCTGGTGCAGTGCTGCGCCTCACCCGCGCCAAAACAGCCAGAGCTGAGCGCGGCTCGACGGTTTGGCGCTGCGCCGCAGGCTTCCCGTGGCTGCTGCGACTCCCGTGGCTGCCGCAGCCCCCGCGGCTGATGCAGCTGCTGCAGCTGCCGCGCGAGCGAGAAGGGAAGGACGGGGGAAGGGAGGAACGAGCGACACGACGACGAGTGGATGGAGGATGGAACGACGGCACGACGACGAGAGGAACGAACGACACGACGACGACGACGACGACGACGACGACGAGACAGGACGACGACGACAAACGACACGACGACGACACGACGACGACGACGACGACGACAAGGGAGCGGACATCAGAGCAGGTAAGGGGCGCCCAGCACACGAGGCGGCCACGAAGCGGCCACGGCCAGCCACCCGCGGGGCACCCGCCGAGCACTCTGCACGCTCATGGAGGGGGGGCTGCACGGCAGGGCTCGGCAGAAGCCCTCCCTGCCAGAGCGGCGGCAGCGGACGGCGCGGCAGATGCCGCTGGCCGTCAGAGGGCGGCACGCGGCACCACAGCGACCGATGATAGAGCATGCGGTGCGCCACGCTGCAGGCTGACCCGACTGTGCACTGCAAGACGTGTTCCTCCAGGCGACGGAGTGCACTCGCCATCGCTCGGACGTCCATTCCCTGTGCTTTTTTCGGTTTCGTGCGTGGTTTTTTCGCCAAATGATCAGGGGTGCTCCTCGGGGGTCCTAGCCGAAGGAGAAATGCACACGTCCGAGCAATGCAAAGTGCACTCTCCAACCTCCCCGCCTTCGGCCGGCACGGGCCGTCAGACGTGCTGGAAGAAGTTCGTATCGAGCGGTGCCAGGCAGCACAGGACAACATCAGGTATACGACTCAGGGAATTGATGCAGACGCGCGAGTTCGAATCTAGAGAGTACAACTGCACGCTGAAATGCAAGAGTGCTTAAACTTACTGTCGTTGGAAGTTCACTGGTACCGTCTCGAGTGGCTACAGCACGAGACTCGGCTCCGGGAGGGGCCACATGATCTCATACACATCCTCTTCTGTAGTGAGTCGCTTACAGTAAGGGCCCGACCACAAGAAACCTTCCAGAAGAAACCCAAGCCTGAGCCCCAGGACGCCCGCTGATCTTTGGTGTGGCAGCATCGCGCTTGCCACCGCAAAAAACCGTCGAAACCCGAGAAACGCAGTGCAACCTGGAGGCGAGCAGGGTGCTTTTTGGCATGGGCCTCCACTGTACCCTCGACCAGGATAGTAAAGATGCGCGGTAAGGATGCAAAGGCCTTGGAACGCCGTGTTGACACTTTCCGTGCGGAGCGCAGCAGACTGCCGAAGGACGCCGAATACCGAAGGGGCAAGGATGCAAGGGTAGCCTTGGAAAGTTGCCCCATCCTTACTTTCATTAAGTCGGGCGTGTCCCCCTACAGGGGGATTTTGGGCGAAAAATGAAACATACTCAAAAAATGCCCCCCAAATGCTCAGAAATAGTCAAACAATCGTACCCAGACTATTTTGGGGCTATTTTTGAATATTCCCCCTGTGGTTGGACACGCCCGACTTAAATGTAACTGTCGCTCGCTGGATCCACTCCACGCCTGCCTGTGCACAGGCGCTGGCCCCCTTTGTCGGCGACGAAGGGGCGCCTTGGGGTCGCGGCGTCCTCCCCTGACCGAAGGGGCCCTGGGACACACAAATAGATAGACACAAAGAGCAGGATTCCCCAGGCCTTCCCATTTCTGGGAAGACATGTCTTTCTGGGTTTCTGTCTTCCCCAAGAGCACAAAGATCCCCATGTCTTCCCATGTCTTCCCCAAGAGCACGAAGGATGTCCCACGTCTTCCCCAAGAGCACGAAGGATTTCCCATGTCTTCCCCAAGAGCACAAACATCCCATACTTTGTGGGTTTCTGTCTTCCCCCCCCCCCGCTTCCCATATTCTCCCATACTTTCCTGGGGAATCGACAATTATTTGTGTCTGTATGTTTCCCCCCCCCCCCCCCCTGAGTCACACCCAACGCTGCCAGGGGGCGACGTCCGAACCCCGACAACCCCCGCCAACCACTGTCGGGGAGACGTCAGCCTCGGGTGCGGGGGACTCGGGTTTGAAGGGGAACTGGGACACACAAATAAATACACACAAACAAAAAGATGCCGCATATTTTCACATATTTACTCGGTTTTTGTCTCCCCCCCCCCACTTCCCATATTTTCCCATATTTTCTGGGGAATCGAGGATTAATTGTGTCTGTGTGTTTCTTTCCCTCCTGAGGGTTGGCCTGACGGGGCCATCCCGAAAATGACGAGACCCAATCTGAGATTCGATGCGAGCTCCCGCTGCAAACATCCCACGAACACCGACCCGTCAAGATCCAGGACGCGCTCGCCAAAAAACTTCGGCAAACCCGAGTTCGAGTCTGAGGCCCGGGGGTAGGGTTCGGATTTCGCCAAGTGTTCGACGACTTCCGAACCCCGCCCCCGTCGCCCATCGAGGTGCATGACTCGTTCATCGGCGAGGGTGAGGCTAGGACTTCGCCGCCGTGGTGCCCCCGAAGCTGGCCGGGCGGAGCCTGTGAAGTGGATGTTGACGCCCCACCGGTGGGCCCCCAGGTTCCGCAGGCGCGCCATCCTCGCCTGCAGAGGAGGAGAGCACCAGCGCGCCTCCGCCCAGGCCTTCCGCGCTCCCACTCCCAGCGCACCCCGTCGTCGCCGTCGTCGCCGTCGACGTCGTGGCCGTCGCCGACGTCATCGCCGTCGCCGTTGTCGTCGTCGTCGTCGTCGTCGTACACGTCGTCGTCTTATGAATCGTTGTGTACGTAGTCGCCGTCGTCGTCGACGTCGTCGTGGCCGTCGTCGACGTCGGAATCGTGGCTGTCATCGACGTCACCGCCGCCATGGTCGTCGTCGTCGTCGACACGCGCGAGTCGAGCCTCCGCGCTCTCACTTCAGGCCCCGACCCTGGTGCACGTCGATGTCGTCGTCGTTACCGTCGTCGCCGTCGTCGCCGTCGCCGTCGTCGTCGCCGTCGTCGTCGCCGTCGCCGTCGCCGTCGCCGTCGTCGTCGTAGAGATCGTCGTCGGTCGTCGTCGTAGAGATCGTCGTCGTCATCGTCGTAGAGATCGTCGTCGTCGTCGTACACGTCGTCGTCTTATGACTCGTCGTATACATCGTCGCCGTCGTCGTCGACGTCGAGGGTCGAATGCAGGCGGGCCGAGGATCGATGATCGAAGATCGAGGATCGAGGGTCGTAGTTTGCATGGGCTGGCCTGCGGGAACCTCCAGGGGCCTCCTGCACGAAGAGCGCTGGGGACCTCCCAGGCGCCATGCAGTCAGCCTGCTGCCATACACAAGAGCCTCTGAATGGGGCCGAAGGGGCTTCTCTGGCAACGGCCAGCCTTGGCCAATAAGAGGTTCCCCGCCTTTGATCTCAGGAGCGGCCCCAAAAACAGAGCCCCTCGTGTGCTTATCTCAGCGCCTTGGCCGCACGGCAAGGGAGTAGTTCCCCAGATGTGCCCGCGGTGTGCTGGTGGCGGTGCATGGCCACACCTCCGACGACTCGTGTTGGACCGGCCTCCGGTCGTGGGTCGTGCTCGGACGGCCCCCCCCCACATTCATTCCGAAGAACTTTCTGTTCTGAGGCCACCCAGCAGCTCGCTCTCCTCTTCTTTCCTCTCTCCTTCCCCGTCCGCGCGTGCGGCAGCTTGCTCCGCCCGTGCGGAGGAGGAGGAGGAGGAGGAGGAGGAGGAGGAGGAGGAGGAGGAGGAGGAGGAGGAGGAGGAGCCCCAGCGTGGCCCGCCTGTAACTCGGATCCGAGACGCTGCAGGCCCGAAAAGCTGGGACGGCTTGGGGCCCAGGAGTTGTCGGCCCTCCCCGACGCCGCACACCGCGAGGAGCCTCCAGAGCGTTCTGCAGCACCGCTTTCCTGGCCGTTGGAACCGCGGGACCTCTGGGTGGGGGAGGAGGAGGGAGGGGGGGATCGGAAGGGGGGGGGAGGGAGGGAGGGGAGGGAAGGCAGGAATGTCATAAGAAGACTGCGCCTGCTCACAGACACAGCTCTACCAAGGACCCCTCTGGTCGAGGGGTCGTCGCCGTAGTCTGGGGGATGGGCGCCGTAGATTTGGTAATGGTCGGGAGGGGGGGGGGGGAATGGAGAGGGGCGTTTTGGTAATGGGGGGGTCGTCGCCCTAGTTTGGGGGATGGGCACCGTAGTTTGGGGGATGGACGCCCATTTCGGCCTCGAGTTTTCGAGTTTTAGGTATGGCTATTTTGGGACATGTCAAGATTTAGGCATGGTTGCTTCGGGGATGGATTCTACCATTTAGAGTGACCCCCTTCTTAAAAGGAAGAAGCAACAACCAAACGTAGCACGAGACCCTTCCTGCAAGATGGGCCTGGATCCAAAACTACCCCTGGACCCCAGGCGCCGAGAGTGGCCGCCGAGTCTTGGAACGCCGGCCATCCTCCAGCCAGGCCGGGACCCGTCTCCGAGAGGGAGGCAAAGCCAGAGGGCCGGGGCAGGGGGCCAGAACAAGGCCCTGCCCACCCTGACGGGCCCGCGCGCCCCGCACCGCCAGCGCCACTCGACCGCGCCCGTGGCGCAGCAACGCCGTGGCCCTCGGGCGCCAAGGGACCCTCGAGCACGGCCTCGCGACGGGCTCCCGCGGGCCAGGCGAGCCCCGCACGGGAGCCCGCGAGCCCGCACTCGCGGGCAGGACGGAGGCCCCCACCGACGGGCCCCGAGGGGGCCGTCCCAGACACCGCCCCCGCAGGATAGGGAGTAGGGGCCCCCGCAGCGCCCCCGGAGAGGCAGGCACAGCCCCTCCTCCTCGTCCTCCTCCTCCCCCTCCTCCTCCTCCTCCTCCCCCTCCTCCTCCTCCTCCTCCTCCTCCTCCTCCTCCTCCTCCTCCTCCTCCGCGGACCCGTGCCTAGCGGCAGCAGGAGCCACGCCCAAGGAGGTGCCCACAGACTCTCCACCGGGCCCCTCGCCCCGAGGGGGGCGACCTCGACGGAGGGAGCCGAGTCAGCCTCAAGAGCATGAGCCTGCAACTCTGAAATCACCGAGGAGCGGCACAGCCTATCCGTCCCACCAACGAGCTTCCATCTCGACTCGGCCGTGTACGCAGATCTTCGGCACCTGCGACACGCCGATGTCCCGGACATCTCAACAAGGTCGTGCTCATGCAACGCGAGACAAGTTTTTCTCAGGTCCTCGGGCGTCCTAGACGAGGCAGGGGTACTCGTGGGCTCCGCTTCATCGGCCCACAACTCCAACCTATAACTCATCTGGACAGCCCAAGCTTGGGACTTCGCACTGTCGGGCCCCAGTGAAGGCATCCTTAGAGAACCTGGCGTGCCCTTCTGGAAACCTCACAGACAGGGCCCCTGGCTTGGCGAAGTGATCCGCCCATCGCCAAGGTATCCTAAGCCGTCGGTCAAGCACACATTGCCGCAGGACTCAGGTGGCGACGCCCAAATCACCCCAACAATATGCGGGCGTCTCCTCGAGCGGAGGCGGCGCGTCAATCTTTGGCCATCTTGGGATGCCAATGGCCAACGCAGACGAGCCGACATCCTGGCGACCCTCCCAATCCGCCCATGCTCCAACATCGCATCGCGAGCTGCGGTCAGCTTGGGTCAAGGCCACGGTGCCCCTCCTCATCCAACAATCTCTCGGCGAGGGCAGGACGCTGCAAACAAAAAAACATGGCCGACCGTCTCAGCCTCATGTGAGCATGCTCGGCACTCCTGATCATCCGACAATCCAAACTTCAATGACCTGGCCTTGGGCCACAGCGAGTCCGGCCCAAGGCTGCGCAGAGCGCCCGCCCCCCCCCCCCCCCCGACCCAGTCGCCGAGCGGCCGACTGGGCGGCTCAGAGACAGTGATCAGCAGTGCGTCTCATCTGCCAGCGATGGACCCACTGTCGGAGGAGATCACGAAAACATCTGGGCGGCGTGACAAGCGGCGAAAAAACAAGCCCCTCATCGGGCGCAATGGGGGTCGAGAAGTGCATCGCCAAGCCAATCCGCATGAGCGAGAGGGCCACTGCCATCAACGGGCCTACGAGCCGACGCCGCGGTCAGCTTGTCCTCGCCCTCCTCGACCCTGCGCAGCATCTGCCGTCGCGCCCGCTCGAGCTCGCCTGGGCTCATCTGGCGGTCCCAGACGACTCGCGCATGCCGAATCAGCGGCTCGATGGTCGCCGCGAAGATCGGGTCGCAGCGCGGTTCGGCCTGGCTGGCCAAGTAGAGCGCGATGCGGCTGCCTGGCCCTTTCGGGCCTCCTCACCCGGCCGCTTCCGAGCGCGGCGCAGCCGGCTCAGAGGGCAACGCCCGGCGCTGCTGCGCCGCGTGCCGCGGCTGGCAAGGGCCCGTCTGCCGCGGGCGCGTCGCCCAGGCGCCGGTCGCGCGCCGCAGCCTCGCCGCGCGTCTCGCGCGCGGCCTCGGCTTGCCAAGCCTGCAACTTCAGACCCGCGTCCTCCGCGTCGTGCTTGTGCCGCTTGACGGCTTCCCATAGCGCGCGTGCATCTCGCGAGCCCTGGCCAACCCGCTGCGCCGAAGCGTCGTCCGCGGGGGCCCTCGGGATCGCGCCGTAGCAGGCCGGTCTCCCGAGCGCTCTCGCGGCGTTCGCCACTCGCGCAGACGCGGAATATGCACGACCCGCGAGGACGCCCCAGTGCGCCGCGTAGCTCCGCGAGAGCGAGCCGAACGCCTTGAGTCTCCGGGGCAAATTGCAGCACTTGGGGATCGCCCGCGCGGGTCTGACTGGATGCGCATCGCCTCTGTCTCCGCCAAGAGATGCCTCGCAATGGGGCTGTCGAGCGTCTTCCACGCACCCCAGAGCACCGTGACGCTGTGGCATCCGTTGAGCTTCTCGACCTCCGCCCTCAGGTCGCGGTGGAACGCCGCCGCCGTCGAAGTCCTGCCTGCGCCACCTGCCCCCCGCTGGTTGAGGGCGTTCACCAGCGCCGGCCAGCTGCTCGCCGCGGCGGGCCTCGCTTGAGCCCCAAGGCCAAGGCGCGAGTTCACCGGCGCAGGCAACCTGCAACCTCCCCCTTCCTTTGGGGGACGCGCCGAGGTCGCGCGAATCCAGGCGGACGGCCACCTCCCTGGCTTCTCGGGATGCCAGAACAGCAGAGCCGACAACACACACACACACATGCCAATGTCGCTGAAATACCAGAGCGCCCATGGGGCAATCTCTGATTTCCCCGCTGCCGCCCCCGCTTTGAAGCGTGACGCCGCAGCCCTCCGGTGGTCGATGCTCATCCTCGGAAGCTCGGCCCAGTCGTCGACGTCAGGAGGCTTCTCCAGCGCCTTCTGCTCGTGGCGCGTCCAAACCTCCGTCCGCCCCTTCAGCTCATTGCTCACCAGCTGGCGCGGGCCCCCTTGCGTCCTAACACGCCGTGCCTGCGCAGCAAGTGGTATCCTCGGAAAACGACGCGCCAGGCTCACGCCACCATCGATGCGCTTGGTAGCCATGCTTCGCCACTCCTTCTCCCGCTCCTTCGCATGCGCACTCATCAGCCTTTCTGACTCACCCGCGATCTTCTGCGCCGTGTCCGGCCTCCCTGGCCCGGCCACCTGCCGTGTCCCACCGTGAGCCATGCGAACGCCTCCATCGCCGAATGGTTC